CTTTTTTCTACCTAACATGATATTTTGAACTCATTTCTGTATATATAATGGTCTATTTTATGGATAGATTGTAGTTTATTTAATTGGATCCTTATTGATGGGTATTTAGATTGCTTTCAGAATTCTAATATTAAAAACAATACTCAGTGAACATTCTTGAACCTAATTGTGTATATGTTTGTGTGTTTGTGTATTTCTAGAAATAGAATTTCTTTCTCTCAGGATATTTAACATTTTGATAGTGCCTATGTCCTCCCAAATTATTATTTCAGTTATACTCCAAAAGGCTAGAGTACTTGTTTCTGTACAACCTCACCAACAATGGGAATACCTAGAATTTTTAAAAATATATGCCAGATTGATGGGTGAAAATTGGTACTATGCTTTTATTAATTAACATTTCTTTATGAATCAATTGACTGTCTTTGTGGGGCTTTTTTCCTCATTTATATTTTTTTGTGAAAATGTTTGCCTATATGCCTATTTTGCTGGTTAGTTTTTTTTGTAAGAATTATTTTTAAATTAAAGAAAATAGTTCTTCGTTATAAGTGCTTCTGTCTCCCACCCCCCATATATTGCTTTTTATTTTCTAGGTTATGTCTTGCACTTATAAAGGCTTTATATAGTTTAAGATTATTCCAAATTTTTTTTCTTTACCCATTTTTTTTTTCTAGTCCTTAAGTATATTCCAAGGGTCTTTCTCTTTTAATTTCCAGTTTTACCACTTGAGGGAGTTTTTATATGAAAGTTGAAATTGAATGTCGGTGAACAAAAGCACTGAATGTTAGCTGTCTCTGGGCTCTTAGAATTTTTAGTAGAAAGCCATCCACAGATGAAATACTTTACTTTGATCCAGAAACATTAAAGTGAGATTTCTCCTTTCATTTAGAATTTTTTTCAATGCTCGAAACTAGTAATAAGTGGGAGAAGAGATTGTATTTCTACTGTTAAGGTGATATAAATTTGCCATCATAGTATTCTCTGCATACCTTCATGTGTGGAATATAGGCTTGGGATATTTATTGACACAGTGAAGGCAGAAATTTTTTTCATAAACACACACATAATACATACATACATATACATGTATGTATAGTTTGTTGTCATCAAACTCCTTGATCACTGCTGTGCTTCAAAAGTTGAACTCTCAATATACAAGACACACAAAAAAATGTGAAGATTTCCATTTCTGCTGGCATTGGATCCAAAGATTTTAAGTCTTCAAATGTCTGAATCTGAGGATGGGATCTGGCTTCTTGAAGCATCCTAGATTATCACATTCTGATTCTAAAATTATTGAATAGCTCTTGAATGGCCTAGAGATACCCAAGGTTTATATCTTCCTAACTAATGTGCATACCAAAATGTTCTTTACTTCTGGAATTTTCTAAGAGATTTAAATTTTCTCTCAATTGATGTTCTATAATACTTTCCTAAAATATTTAGGATCACAGTTAATCTCTCTTTAACTGTAAATTTCAAACCCTGGACAGAACCTTTCTGGTTTCTACTTTTTATGTCTAGATTTCGGATTTATTTTATTCCAAACTATGCAGTATAAATATAACTTGTTATTTTAAATAGGCCTGTTTTACTAATTTTCTAGATAGATGATGTGTGAGTTTTTAATATTCTGCTTGCACATCTGGAAAGTGCTTTTTTTATCATTATGGTGGGATGGTAAAGTATTATGAGATTTACAATTGCTTTCTTTTTGTGAGTACCTATGTTTATAACTTTTTTCCAAGTTACATATATGTATTTTTCTTTTAGAGTAGTTAGACTCACAGCAAAATTGAGCAGAAAGTAGTGTTCTCATATACCCATCCCCCTATGGGTTCCTCCATTATCAACATCTTGCATCAGGTTGGATATACTTGTTATAATCAGTGAACCTCTGTTGATACATCATCACCATAGTTTACATTAGAGTTCACTCTTGGTGTTGAACGTACATTCTGTGAGTTCTGACAAATGTATAATGACATGTATCTACCATACTGCCATACAGAATGATTCCACTGCTATTCGAATTATCTGTGCTCCGCTTGTTTATTCTTCCCTTCCCACTGTGTATAATTTTTGTACTTACCAAGTTTGAACTTTACTACAGATGACTTGGAATATTAGTTATTTAAAGAAATAGAATTAAAAGAGATAAAATAGTACTACATCTAATGACACAAAGTTATTGCTGAAAATTGTAGGAGTTAACACAGCTCAATGGTAGAAGTATTGTAGAGAGAGAAATTCTTGTAATGAAAATGAGATACTTGTGGTATGAGTTTATGCTGAGTAACGTACCACTTCAAGTCCATCAAGTCTATTGTGTAGTCCCTTATTTGTCTTACTCTTTGTATCTATACTATTTCGTTCAGTGTCTGACAAAGAAAAGAATTTTGTAATTGTGCATGTATGCATGAAAGATTAATTTAGATACTTAAGTGAGTAGAAGCCCTACTTTGGTGGTCCTGACTGCACATCCATTACTGATAGGATCAAACAGGCTTATGGAGCTCAGCTATTAGACCTCTAGCCGCCCTGCCTCACTTGCTTTCAAGGAAATGACCAAAGAAAACTTGGTATGTTATTTTAGAATATGAAATTCTGTAATAATAAACGTATGGTTTAGCTAAGTCAGCTAAACATTGTCATTTTTGAATAAGTGTCAGCTCTCTTTGTGTACCTTTCTATAGTTCGAAACTATTGCTTGTTTCTTATTTAGGATGCTGCAGCTGATTCAGAGTAGGCTACAAGAAGAGCATTCACTTCAAGATGTGATATTTAAAAGTGCTTTTAAAAGTGCATCAACAGCTCTTCCACCAAGGTGAGATCTGTATTTTAAATGTGCAACTGTTTATTATGAATTTACTTTGACATAGTTAAAACTAAAGTGTTGGTTTAGTTTTCTGAATCTTATTTTTCTTAAGAAGGGAAAATAGAATCATTCTTTACTATAAAGACACCTTTTGCTTTTAAATTTATAGGCTGTGATTTTGATCAGAATTATCACAAATATTTATTTGCATTTAATTTTCTTTTTTATGCGTGGTATACCTCCGTATAAAATTATATTGAGTTTTAAGAAAAATTAGTTTCATTTACTATTTTGAGGACCCATAAGCTTTGGTTAGAAATTTTATTTCACGTTTTTGTATTTTAAAGATTAGAGGCTGGGAACAGTGGCTCACGTTTGTAATCCCAGCACTTTGGGAGGCCAAGGCAGGCGGACCATTTGAGGTCAGGAGTTCGAGACCAGCCTGACCAATGTGGTGAAACTCCATCCCTACTAAAAGTACAAAAAAATTAGCCGGGCGTGGCGGGTGCATGTACGTAGTCCCAGCTACTCAGGAGGCTGAGGCAAGAGAATAGCTTGACCCCAGGAGGTAGAGGTTATAGTGAGTCAGACTGTACCACTGTACTCCAGCCTGGGTAACAGAGCAAGACTCTGTCTCAAAAGAAAAAAAAAAAAAGATTAGTGGATATTTGGAAATGCTATAATCATAAATATAATAAAAATGTGCAAGATTTTACATTTGCTTACGAAGAAAATGTCATTGTCTCTTTGAACTTAGGTGGCATACCTTTCCTTTACCTCAATCATATTTCTGCCCTCCCTCCCTCTCCCTGCTACAGTACCAGAAATAAAGGAAGAAAATAGGTCTTTTTGGACTAATTCTTTTGTTTCAGTCTTCTGTCACTGGACTTAGTCCTCTGGTTAGAGTTGAAGAACCATGGGATTTCAAATTTATGTAAATGTAACAGATATTAAATTAGTATTTTTTTCCCATTTTATAGATGTGTAATTTTTATAAATGTCTAGACTTCAGGAAATTGCTATTCTATTTTTAACATTTAGAATATTACCTAAAAAATGATCTTTAGGGATTTTTTTTTCTATACACATTTTTCTCATCATAAAATGGTAACTATGTTGAATGTGCTTTAAATAATATATCTTATTTTAACAGAGAAGATGATTCATCACAGTCTCCAGATGCATGCAGAATTCATGGCCATCTATATGTCAATAAAGTAGCAGGGAATTTTCACATAACAGTGGGCAAGTATGTTCTTTTCACTTACTGAAAATGCTTTAAACAAAATTGGAGCTTGGTTAAAAGTAAATTCTGGCCAGGCAGGGTGGCTCACGCCTGTAATCCTAGCACTTTGGGAGGCCGAGGTGGGTGGATCACCTGAGGTCAGGAGTTCGAGACCTGCCTTCCCAACATGTCAAAACCTCATCTGTACTAAAAATACAAAAAATTAACTGGGCGTGATGGTGGGCGCCTGTAATCCCAGATACTTGAGAGGCTGAGGCAGGAGAATTGCTTGAACTCAGGAGGCAGAGGTTGCAATGAGGCGAGATCATGCCACTGCACTACAGCCTGGGCCACGAGCGAAACTCTGTATCAAAAAAAAAAAAAAAATGAATACTTTGCTAATCAAATAACATATAGCTAACTACTAAAGGATTGCTTAAAATACCATGTATATGTATTTTTAATGTCTTGAGATTGTTGTCTGGGGCTTCAGTCTCAGGATAGAGAAAACTACTAACTTCAAAAACTACTTAAAAACAAAAGTAAAGCAGTCATGTCATGTGTTGTGTATTAAAGTAATTGAACTGTAGGTAAATATCAGTTACAACCTTCTACTTGCCAGGTTTTAGTAGCCAGAGAGCTCTTACATAGACATTTCATTAATTTGTTCATTTTTTTTTTTTGATATGGTATTAGGTTTTTGTCTTAACGTTTTGGTGGTCCTCATCAAAATGTAATTCCTGACTAATCCTAGACAAGTGTTTTGATAAAGTTAGAAATTAGCAGTGTCTAGAATATAAAGTTAAATTAGGTAAAAGTTAAGAAAAAATATGAGCAGCACCCAGCACAGAAATTGTCATAAACACTTGTTAAATTTTTGAGTGAATAAATAGATCCATTCGTCTTTCCCTCCCATATAGAGAGCTGAACTGAACAATTCTTTATTGTACAAGACATTTTTTGAGTACTTGCTATGTGCAAAGTACCATGCTAGAAACTAAGGATAAACAGTGAAGAAAAAAATAAAAGGTTTTTGCCCTTTTTAATTTCTTTTATTCCAAACTGTACAGTATAAATATGACTTATTATTTTAAATAGGCCTGACATTCTGTAAGAAAATCCACACTTTAAGCAGTGAATACGTTAATAATTATTTAATGATAGTTGTATCGAGGCTGTAAAGGAGAAGCATGGCTGATAAGAGACTATTTAACAAGGTATTAAACTTACGTTGCAAGTCAGTTGAGCCCTTATTGAGGAAAACCTTTGAACACTAGGAGAAGAGGAGGAATTTAATATATAAAGGAGGGAAGGGCATACAGCAGGAAAGAGCATGGCTGGAAATTTTAAAATATATATAGAGAGATAACATTAGATTTCTATGAAAAAGTATTTCAGTATTTACAATACTCAGATCAAACATTTATTTTTTTCTTCGTTATCTCTTGAAATTTATGTTTTGTTTTTTTGTTACCATTACCCATCTCCAACCCAGCCTGTTGCTGGGAACCTTGGAATGTCTTGAAATCGTAGCTTAAAGAAATTTAGAAGATTTTGTTGCACCTTTGGATACAAACAATATTTTAGTCCAACACCAACTCAAAGAGGGAAATTTTGACAAATATTATATCAGACCTATATTATGTCCCTTTTTAAAATTTGTTTTTGGTCTTTTCACAATTTTACTTTCCTTCACAGGTGGTAACTCATACTATCAGAGAGACCAAATGGAAAAGCATTTGGTTTGTATCTTGTCATCTCAGGGATATCCTGTAAACCCACTCCTAATTTTTTAGTATTACATTTGTCAAGTTCAATATTGATCTTTTTCAAGGTCTCATATTACCTCTCAGACCCAATGTCAATCTCAACTGTAATATAAAAAAGTAATAAAAGGAGCATAATTTGTAGCATAATTTGTATTTCAGTATGCTTGAGTGTGAATACACTAGAAGACATAATGAAGTAGGCAGATGCTTACCACTTATATGTAGAATTTTAAAATATATAATAACTACAAATGCAAACTGAAACAGATGTATTGGCTACTCAAATACCATGAGTGACATTTCCATTGATGAGATGATATTCAGAAATAGGAATACCTCTTTGTAATATTAAACAAAACAATATAAGCATCCCTTAGTTTTCTGGGAGATTTAGTGTATATCAAAATGACAACAGGTACTTTATATAGTTAAATGGAGTTCAGTTCTAGACTCAGATTATTATAATAGACTTTTCATGTAGATGAGTATCTCTTAGAGCATTTGCAACTCAGGCAAAACCTGGGATGATTCTTTTTTGAATGAGACTGTCAATTTCATTGTAGGATGCCTTGTTTCTGTGCCTGTTGTCCAGTAAATCCCAATAGCAACCACTTCCCAATAATTCTGACAACTCAAAATGCCTCTCTTCACCCCCCACCAATTTTCAGAACAACTTTTCCTGCACTGAAAGTCATGCAGGCTAGATTCTTGTCTGATAGGGTAGAAAATATTCCAGAAAAGAAACAGGTAAATTCTGAATATCCATCCTCCCTATGCAGAGTTTTAACAAGTGTCAGATAGCTACAGTCATCTGTACTAGGGTGATTTAATTTGATTTAAATTTAATTTTTTGAAGAAGATGCTCACATATGCTGTTATTTCATAAAATGAATACACCTGTCAACCACAACAACAAAAAAGGAAATATTATTTAAAACAGCTCTCTATTCCTCTCAGAGTAAAATCCTGGGTGGTGAGAGAGGTCATTGAAGTAAAATGTATAGGTTGAGCATCCGTTATCTGAACATCTGAAATTCAGAGTGCTCCAAATTTGAGCATTGTCAACACAATGCTGAAAGAAAATGCTTAAGAGTGTTTCAGGTTTCAGATTAGGGAGGCCTTCCTGGCAAATAAAATGTACATATTCTAAAATCTAAAATTTGAAACTTCTGATCCCAAGCATTTTGGATAAGGGATATTCAATGTGTAGTATTGTAATTTGGTTATTCAGAAAAACTCTAAATTTGTTTGTTTGAAAATAATAGTAGGAACACTGTTAGGCTGACAATGTGAGTGGAGCTAGGAATAATTTATGACAGTAGACTTTCTTTTTAGTACTAAGCTTGAGGTAATATACTTGACTGAACCCGGAAGAATTTACGAGACCAAACTACCAATCATTCCAGTGCATCAGGAAATGCTTTATTGAGCAGGGTTTTAGTATACTTTGTGTTGAATGTCAGTTAATACTTTTCCCTAATCATTGTATTGCCTTTTTTAAAGTGCCTGGTGTTTTGCTAGGTAACACATAGAACAAATTAAACAATATTTAGACCTACTACGGTGTATTCTGGAACTTGACAATGGTGACAGTTAATTGGTAATAAATAAAGAAGGCTCCTTTATGGAGAGTTTCTGTTTTCAGTTTTTTAGTTAATTGCTAGAATTGGCAACTGGGTAAAGCAGGATTGTGGTAAAGGAGATCTTCAAGGTGATTTTTTAATTTTTTTTTAACCAGGAACAGGGAAGGATAATACTTATTTGTAGAAGTATAAAGATGTTAAAAGAATAGGTTAAATTTGAAAGATAACAGTGTATGACAGAACAGAGGTTTACTGCAGGGGCAGGCAAACTACAGCTTATATTCCAAATCCAGCCTACTACCTGTTTTTGTATGGTTCATGAGCTGAGAAAGGCTTTCAAATTTTTATTTTTTTAATTTTATTTATTTATTTGTTTGGTTTTTTTTGAGACAGAGTCTCACTCTGTTGCTCAGGCTGGAGTGCAGTGACATGATCTGGGCTCACTGCAATCTCTGCCTCCCAGATTCAAGTGATTCTCCTGCCTCAGCCTCCTGAGTAGCTGGAATTACAGGTAGCCCCCCACCACGCCCATAATTTTAGTATTTTTAGCAGAGACAGGGTTTCACCATGTTGGCCAGGCTGGTCTCAAACTCCTGACCTCAAGTGATCCTTGCCTTGGCCTCCCAAAGACCTGGGGATTACAGGTGTGAGCCACCTTGCCCAGCCATGGTTTTTACATTTTTAAATATTTGAAAATAAATCAGAAGGGGAGTAATATAATACTTGAGAAATACATGAAAGTTAAATTTGTGTCCAGAAATAAAGTTTTATTGGCATATAACCGTGCTCATTTGTTTATATATATGGCTGCTTTTGTATTACAGTAACACAGTTGAGTAATTCTGGCAGAGACTGTATATGACTCTCTCATTACTTTGTACTTTGGTATACTATGAATTGCAGTGATGCAGTTATAATTTGACAGCATTGAAAGTGCTGTGTGTATTCCTGTCCTGCAGCATTTTATTTATTTATTGTATTACTATGTTTAAAAAAAAAGAAATATGACTTCAAATGTTGCATTTTTAAAGCACAGTGGACTTTGGATTATTTGATCAAATTTGGCTGCAGAACATCCTGTGTATTAAGCAATGACACTAATTGTACTAAAAGAATACAGTATATGTTGATGGTGCCAGACTGATCATTCATCACAGTGTTACCAACCTATAAAAAAGCAATGGTCAGAAAAATTAGAAAATTAAAAATGGAATATCCAAACACTAGAATTTTATAAAAAGTGAAAATGAAGCTGTAATCTTTAAGTGCCTCATTGTTTAGCAAGTAAGGAAAGTCATCCAACCATTTGATAAGTCTGTGAAGCAATGTTTGACTGCCAAAGCTAAAGAAATGACTCCAGAGAAAATAAATTTGCTTTAGACAATTAGATGACTAGCCTTCTTCAAGAAAAGTGTTCCAGTAGATGAGGACATTGAGAGCAGTATCTAATAGCCAGTTCAAAAACAAACCAGGAGATTTTGAGTAGTTCCTAAATTCTTGATCAGTGGGCAGATGTTACTAGAACTGCTTATTGTTTAATCGAGGAATCAATGCTGAATTTGAAGTGATTGAAGAATTAGTATCTGTGAATCACCTGCTTGCAACAAAAACTATAGGCAAGAATATTTTCATAGAAGTTGAGAGAACACAAATTCAGTACATCCTAAAGTGGAATCTGGTTGGTATATGTTACAAATGTATTATAACTGATGGTGGTGTGTGGAGCAGAAAAAGGCCTACTTGGATGCCTTTCAAACCTTGTGAAAATGTAGTGTTTAATGCCTGTTGTTATCCATTGTATCATCAGTAGTACTTTGCAGAAAATATTTGTATTGATGATGTATTTTAAACTGGTGTGTCAATGGTAAACTTCATTTGCTCTCCTGGACCTAAATATTGACATTTCCGTGGTTTCTTTTTGGTCAGGTATAAAAACTAAATATTCCATCTCGCCCTACTACGTAGCAGTTTGATGGCTTAGCAGTACATTTTTTGAGCTCAGTGCCAAGATTGGATTTTTTCTGAATGAGAAAACTTCCATCAGTTACAATTACTGAGCAAGGAATATTTTTGGAAATTAAGTTTCATGCAAACTTAATAATGTTTAATGAATTTAGCCTAAAAGTATAAGGCAAAACCAATTTTTGTGAAATTTATATTGTAGTAAAGTTGTTTCAGTGACTAGTGATTTTGAGTGTTTTTTTTTTTACTTTTCATGCCTTGATAGCGTTTGCTGTCAAAAGTTAAAGCAAGAATCTAGACTCATTCTCATACTTGAATATATTTTCTGACTTTTCAAACTGTAGTTCCAGAACTTCAGACATTGATGCAAATACAAAGGAAATTTCCATGTTTCAAATTCATTTAACTGCGCAATTGAGGAAATTATGCTTTAATTTAGATTGAAAGTTATTAATCTGCAATATAATAACATGTTTATAGGTAAATAAGTGTTAGGAGAAAAATCTACTGGCATTCTGTAAATGTCTTTCAAGCAATCAGTATGCTCAGCTCATACTCGTGGATTAATTTTTCAAAGATGAAATACTTAAAATGTCATTATAGATCATCATCATCAGATAAAGATTTATGGTCAGTTTTGAAGATAGGAAACATTCCAAACCCCAATTAAACAAAGTGTAATCTCCCTGCAAAACAGTTGTATTACAAAAAAAAAAAAAGGACTCATTACTATTATATCAATGAAAAGTTTGTGAAAATTTGCTTTTTCTCATTATGTAACTACATAATATACTTGATTTTGCATCTTGGTCCACAAAGCCTGAAGTATTTACTATCTGACTCTTTACCAGAAGTGTTTGCCAACCTCCAGCAGTTTATTGCATTGCTGAGATGAGTAGACTTGTCTGCTCAGTCATAGGCCAAATACATTCTTATGTTATTTTGTACTAAGAAAAATTATATAACTTAGGGAAGATCCACTTTCTGATCTTAACAAATTATACATATAAATGGTATTACTTTAATATTGTTTTTTCTCCTTTCAGGGCAATTCCACATCCTCGTGGTCATGCACATTTGGCAGCACTTGTCAACCATGAATGTAAGCAGTTTCTGACTTTTTTTTAGTAAAGACGTACTTGAAAAAAATATTATTTTTTAAAGTGCAGATGCAGTATAGTTGAAAGTGAGCTGTTTTGAAAACATATTCATCCAAAGGAAAAAATAAATTTTTAAATTGATTTACTTTAATCTGCATTTGTATTTGGTCATGGCTCAGAGTTGCTGAGGTTAGGGAGGAAAGTCTGGTGTACTTTCTATAACTTTGACACATTTCTGCTAATTTTTAGGGATAATGAAAAGAATACGTTTGCAGTTCATTTCAATTTGCAAATTGAAATATGAATATATAGATACGTACAAAGTATTCAGGTTAGTTTGGTATCATGATTGTCATAAGACTTAAGTTTTTAAAGTCTGCTTTAGAAGACAAAATAAGTATTGGATTCCACAAAAAATTAGTTTGGTCACATTAAGCAATAGTCTGTATTAAAAATATATCTGATCAGTTTTATTATATGGCTACATGGACATCATTCCAATTCTAACAATACAGCCCTGTTACTATATGATGATTTGGAAAAGGAAAGATGTATATTTTTGGCTTTCATTATTATAGTAATATTTTCTAGACGTTAAATTTTATATAATTACAAAATTTGAGGTGTAGCATTTTGTCCGAATTTATTTTATACATTTAATTCGCATGTGTTTACATTTATTTTTCTCAAAGTAATGTGGCTTAAAATACTGTATTATTATCCTTGCAGATTTTAAACATTTTCATTTGAGAATAGATAAGGATGTAAACCAGTCTGTAACATGTAATTTCGAATAATATAATTTCTCTGCTAAGTTGTTTTTATTTTTTGCCTTTTAGCTTACAACTTTTCTCATAGAATAGATCATTTGTCTTTTGGAGAGCTTGTTCCAGCAATTATTAATCCTTTAGATGGAACTGAAAAAATTGCTATAGATCGTAAGTATTTAATATTACTGTTGGATTTTTCATGTAGAAAATTTTGCTTATAACCTGAATATTAATACATTTTTAATGTCTTCCTAACTACTGTGTAAAGATAATCTTTAAGTGGTTGTGAGTGAGATGTGTGTGGAGAGAATTTGTCCTAGTAGTGGATGAAATTTGAATATTCAAATATGAGCCATAGAACAGAATAAAGAAATTCAAGTTAAAAGATGAAGTAGTTAAAAGGCAGAAGGAGTTCAATATAATCAGTAGAAATAGATGAAAAGTTGATACATTAATAGGGCATAACTGCACTTTTTTGTATTCACCAAAGAAAGAATAAGAACGAAAGAAGAGAAGAACTTTCTTCGTTGTATAATATAGGTTCAAAGTTTTAAAATGCATATGTATCATTTTAGAAACCTCTCTGGAGAATTTTACAAACACCAGAAACCTAGTTATTCTGGAATGGTTTGGTTATTAACATAGAAGGAGTACATCATAGCACAGAAAACCTTTTTAAAATGTTCTTTTAACCTTCTGCTCCATTTAAAGAATCAAGTCTATCCAAATATGGAAAGATAATTTTCTTAGTTTTTTAGAAAGTTGTCTGTTTTCATGTTTTCTGCAGGTTTTTGATTGCCTCTTTCTAAAATAGTCATGTTATATACCATGTTCCAGCTATTGGACATTTAAAGGACTTCTGAAGCTTATTCAGCTAGTAGGAATTCTGTCCTTTGTAAAATTATAATTAAGGATTTAGTTTTTTATTAAGTAGATTTATTAGTATTCTATTTAGATTTATTCATATTCTTTACTTTTTAGCAGTGTTATAATCATATATTAAAGATATTTAGAATTTAGAATACTGATTTACATTCATGAATATTTTATGTTCATGTGGGAATGTTTCCCTTCAGGAAAGCTGAGTGTACTAAATTTAGAAATGTGTGGATGGAAACATTTTGAGATTTATAAGCTTTAGTCAGTATAATCTAATCTGTAATCTAAGCATATGTTAATTCTCCTCTGAAATGAATTGCATGTTACCTGAGAGATGCTCACTTGGAAACATACTGGTCGATGCTTTGTTTCAAGGTGTTAAAATGAACTACAAATTTTTGTACAGAAGCTCTTCTAAATATAAACAAGTTAATTTTCAAAATGCTGTTTTTAAGTGCACTTCTTTCTAAATTCAGAGAAACTAAGAGGTATTTAGAGTCATATTCTGAAATGCTGTTAGGTGAGTATCATCAGGTTATTCAAAGCTTTAAAGCAGTTTGTGTACTTTTCTTCTCTGTAATATATGTTTCATTCGGCCTCTTTTTCCAAAAAGAAAAACATCACCATTACATATCTGCTCTGTCAGGTACCTATCCCTTTCCTGATGTTCTCCAGAAGTATTGCAGGGGTTACTTAACAATGAACATCTTTAATGCAGTGCAGATTTGGATAAACAAGATGACGTAGTCCCTGCCCCTCATAGAGCACACATTCATATAGGGAATTAGATCTTTAGGTAATAAGTGTTAGGGCAGATGGCTCTGAACAAAATAAAGGAGATTGCCTATGATACGAGAAAGGGCATGGAAGAGGCTGTGGTATTTGAAAAAAAACTTGAGTGAAGTAAGTAAGTGAGCCAAGTGATGATCTTTTTGAGAGCATTGCAGGCAGTTTTATTATTAACGAAGCTCATAGAAATAAAACAATCTATATATGCTGCCACAAACTAGTTAACCTAACTCCATACTCCTCCTACTCTGCCAACTTCTCAAATGGCAGGGATGGCTCACTTTCCTAATGGTAGAGAGGTGGATATGTATGTCTTAAAGACAGAGCTGTTTAAAAGAGAGAATGCCTATACTATCTAGTTGAGTGGCTTAGCCACACATGATTACTTTCTGCAGATGAATCATTCCTTCCATGAGTGAGAGGGAAGTGGAGAGGAAGGTCAAAGCTTTTACTCTTTTATGTACACAGTGGTATAAGCTTCTATTTAAATCTGGGATAAATTTTTCTGCTTAAATTTAAAATCATGCTCCCCTTGAGTGAAACCGCCTGGATTCAAGTTCTCACTCTGCCACTTGATAACTTGGACTTTGGCCTGTTTCTTAACATCCCTCTACTTGAGTTGCTTCATCTCTAACAAAAGGATAATAAAAACATTTACTTGCTTATCTAGTTGAACCTATGGATAGATGTATCTAATTATAATTTTTCCAGAGAATTCTCTAGACCTAGAGAATTAACGTGTTTTATATTATGTGAATGGGTAATTGTTTACAGTTAATTAGTAATTGGCAATATACTGGTATTTAAAACTTGTGTCAAACTTAGAAATGCCTAATGACTACATAAAAATGATCCTTTTGATTACACAGTAACCTCAGGCCATCATTGAGTAGTTTCTTTAGTTTTCTTCCTACTGTGATATCAGTTCCTTGTATTTATTCAAAGGCTAGCTAATTTGATTTTAGTGTAGTGTATATCTTAAGATATTAGTAGAAACTGAAAATGTGTCTTGTGGTGGTTATTCTCTTATAATTTTATTTTATTCTTAGTTTCTGTACTGTAAAGAAATGCTGGCCAGGCGCAGTGACTCGCACCTATAATCCCAGCGCTTTGGGAGGCCGAGGCAGGAGGATCACTTGAGCCCAGGAATTTGAGACCAGCCTTGGCAACATGGCAAAACCGTGTCTCTACTAAAAACGAAAAAAAAATTAGTTGAGCTTGGTGGTGTGCATTGTAGTCCCAGCTACGCAGGAGGCTGAGGTGGGAAGATTGCTGGAGCCCAGGAAGTCGAGGCTGCGGTGAGCCATGATTGTGCCACTGCACTCCAGCCTGGATGACGGAGCAAGACCCTATCTCAAAAAAAAAAAAAAAAAGCTACTTTTTCATACTTGATAAAAGGACAATAATGATTATAAGGAATATTTAACTAAGTCACCAGTTCATTTTTCTTAAACATCTGTGTTGCCCATCTTATGCTTACTGAGAATTTGTTTTACTGAGTATAAATATGTTGCTTTCATTGGTTCTTTCTTTAAAATTTTTTTTTGTTAGGCACTAAGTTATGTGTAACATTACATTTCAGATTAAATGTTTTTATTTTTTATTTGTTTGAGACAGGTTCTTGCTCTGTTGCCCAGGCTGGAGTGCAGTAGCACAATCATGGCTCACTGCAGCCTTGACTTCCTGGGCTCATATGATCCTCCTACCTCAGCCTCCTGAATAGCTGGGACCCACAGGTGCATACCAGTATGCCCAGCTAATTTTTAAATTTTTTATAGAGACAGGGTCTAGCTATCTTGTCCAGACTGGTCTCAAACTCCCAGACTCAAGCAATCCTCCTTCCTTAGCCTCCCAAAGTGCTGAGATTACAGGTGTGAGCCACCACATCCAGCTAAATTTCAGGTTAAATGTATTTAATAGAAGAATCTATTTGGCAGTAGTTTGTTGCTACTGAATTGATAAAAAGTTTTTTTTTTTTTTTAAATATTCTAGACAACCAGATGTTCCAGTATTTTATTACAGTTGTGCCAACAAAACTACATACATATAAAATATCAGCAGACACCCATCAATTTTCTGTGACAGAAAGGGTAAGTTGAATCCAACTGGTAAAATAAGTTGGTGATTTCTTTAAAAAGCATTTTAAAGTTTCCTGGCTACAAAATAAGGTGGCGTTTTACTTGCTGTCTTCCCTCATTTAAAAATCTGTGGAAGTTTGGAAATGAATTAACATTTTATTTTAAATCAGAAATATATCAGAAATGAATATTAGTATATTCTAAAGCAATAAAAGTAGATATTAAAAAATCTGAAATGTTTTCCATTGCATTAAGACTTAAAATTATTAAATTGTGATGGCCTTAATTATTTTATTCTTAATGTCTTAATTTTGTAATGTGTTTTCTCATAAATTGATATAAGCAGTTCTTGATCTGGCAGCAGATTCTTTGTATTCTATGTTATTTATTTATTAAAAATGTACTACCTTTTCTGGGCATATGTGGTTATCATGGATTAGATAGCAAATTTAGAGGGTTTGCCTTCTTAAATTAATGCTTTGTATTCATCTGATTGTGATGAAGAACATTCCACTAGCTCAGAGTGGTATGGCCATATAAATAAATACTGACAATGATGAGCAAAGGTTTGGAATTGGACAGTTTAATAGATTTCTCATCTACTTTGGGGTCATGTTTTCTTATTTTTCTGTTTGAATGGTGAGTATTCAAACACTTGTATCCAAAAGAATTCTAAGGCAAAATTTAAGTGCTTTAAAATTTTTGCTTTCCTTTATATAGTGTTTTCTTTTACTAGCCTTATAACTCATGATGACCATGCCCTCAATAATTGTGGAATTTTTTTTTTCTTATGAGCTTAGATATTGAAGTTTTTAGGGGTGAAGTGTCATGTGTCTATAGCTTTTCACTTGGCATGGGGAAAGTACAAGTTCATGTAACTGCATATATGTGTATAGGTATGTGTGTATATACACTCACAAAGAAACTAGGTAAAGTTTATATAAGAACATATTGTGCTTTTCAACATTTATTTAAGGAGTAGGGAGATTCCATTTCTCACCTGTAAGATTGGCAAACACCTGAAAGACAATATATACAGTTGACAAGACTTTGGGGAAAATAAGCAAACATGCAGTGCTATGGGGATGCAAAGTGGCATAATCTTTGTGGAAGGTAGTTCAGCAGTACCTGCAAAAGGACATATGCATTTACCCTTTGACTCAGCAATCGCACTTCGAGAAATCTATTCCAAAGATACAGTGGGCAAAAATATAAAAATGTGTGTTTCAGGCTATTCATTACATTGTTATCTGTAATAGTAGAAGGTTAGGAACAACCCAAATGGTACATCTACACACTGGAGGAAGATGCAATTGTTAAAAATCAAATGAGAAAGATCTCTGTATACTGTGACATGAAGTATCTCCAGGATATATTTTTAAAATAACAAAACCAAAATATATATATATATAATAGAATCCCAGGGCATTTGATTGTTGAAGGATGTGTTTATAGATAGGGTGACAAATAGTTTTTTAACTTAAAAAAGAGTGGAGTAACTGGGTTTGGTAAAGTACACAATACGGGGTGGGAGGGAGACAGCTGACATTAATTAGTCCTGGAACCCAAAGTGAATCATTATTAGTCTTTCATTATGTAGATGCCCTGATCCCTAAAACAGTTTCTACCCTTATAGGTAGTGACAGTATATTTATAACTCAGCATGATATTGAGCATTTTAGAGCTGTAAGACAGTCACTTTATTGGAAACTTGATCAGTTGGCTTATAAGGTTGTATTGTGCTAGTAATAGGGAAAGGGTTTTGTAATGCCCTACATAAAACTGTTTTAATTTCCCTTGGTAGTAGTTAGCTTCATTATTTGTATTCCTAAAGGTTGCAGTTTAGTTACAGCATGAGGAACATGCCATATATTTGTAAGCTCTTGAGCTCAGTAGAAAACTTGTATCTAAGGTGATCTTTTTGAGGAGAAAAGAATGATTCTGCTCTTTTAATAGTTTCAAAAGCTAATTGCACAAAGAATACAAAATAATTTGTCCCTGAAGAGCTTAGTCTAGTAGCACAGTTCATAAGGAAATGTGGATGTCCTTCTTTTACAATAGGGCTGCAGGGCTTAATATTGAATATATGTAAGTAACCAGATGACATGAATTCTGTTTCTTTCTTCCTCCTGTTTCTCTGCTTCCTTTTGCGTCCCTTTTAGGAACGTATCATTAACCATGCTGCAGGCAGCCATGGAGTCTCTGGGATATTTATGAAATACGATCTCAGTTCTCTTATGGTGACAGTTACTGAGGAGCACATGCCATTCTGGCAGTTTTTTGTAAGACTCTGTGGTATTGTTGGAGGAATCTTTTCAACAACAGGTTAACAACCATTTCCTTTTTGTTTAATTTCTAAAAGTGTTGCTTACACTTAACTTGCTTCTTCTCAAAGGGGCAAGAAGTATAACAGATTTTCATGTTTCGGTATTTAAGTAGCTTTTTCTTTAATTACAAAACTCCAAAATTATATTGACTAACTAGTAAATGTAACTAATTTCATTGTATTCAATGATGTAAGGTAGATTATATAATGGTGAATTAGAAAGATGCTGGGTATTAACATCAGATTGAACTACAATTGAATGTAAGTTCTGCCATTTACTTGGTAGTAGCCTGGAATAGATCACCTACCTTTTTTGAGGTTTTCTAATCAGTAAAAGTAGCACTAATAATATATAATTTGCAAGTGTGCTGTAGAATCAAATATGAAAATGCCTACAAGGCATTTAAGGCATTTTATACAGTATGTAAAATCATATGTTACAGTACTTTGAATTATGCAATACATGAAACTAGATTTGTAATCAGTGATGTTTTTATGATTTTTATCCTGAATCCTGGAATAATTCGCTAAGATTATTTGTTGAATTGTAATGATGAAAATTGGGAGTTAAGTACAATACAGGAAAAGGAAACAATTCTATTTTCATCTTCAGTCCATATTCAGTATTAGATGAAGCTGGATAGTTTATTATACTTAGAATCATGTTTTTAAATGAATGAATAGCTTTTCTTTGGAAATTCTTTGTTAGTACTTCATTTCATTCTATTTAAATTTGTGTTGTTGACATCATTTATTTACCAAAATTGTATTGGTTTGAGAAAACCTTGAAAAGATTGTGTTTAGGCCAGGTGCAGTGGCTCACACCTATAATCCCAACACTTTGGGAGGCCAAGGCTGGCAGATCAACTTGAGACCAGGAGTTCCAGATCAGCCTGGCCAACATGGCAAAACCTTGTCTCCACTGAAAATACAAAAAATTAGCCGGGCATGGTAGCACATGCCTGTAATCCCAGCTACTTGGGAGGCTGAAGCACAAGAATTGCTTGAGCCAGGAAGTAGAGGTTGCAGTGAGCCAAGATTGTACTACTGCACTCCAGCCTGGGTGATGGAGCGAGACATCTCAAAAAAAATAACAATAAAAGATTGAGATTGATTGTGCTCAGATCATGAATTATGTGGCCTTGTGATTTTGAAAAGAAATCCATTTGTTTTTAAATCTATCTTGATTATTTTTTAACCATGGAAGTGAATAATGCAAACTGCTTTATTTTCTTCCATAATCTATTCCATTATAGTTATTTATTCTTAAATAACAGTTTAGGATATAATTAAAAGCATAAACTTATTGTTTATTACAGGCATGTTACATGGAATTGGAAAATTTATAGTTGAAATAATTTGCTGTCGTTTCAGACTTGGATCCTATAAACCTGTCAATTCTGTAAGTGGTATAGTATACATGGTGCTGATCTCTAAATCTTAGAATCATTGTTAAGTCTATGGGCCAGTCATGGTGGCTCACACCTGAAATCTCAAGACTTTGGGAGGCCAAGGCGGGAGGATTGCTTGAGTCCAGGAGTTTGAGACCAGTCAAGGCAACATAGTGAGAGCCCCATTTCTACAAAATATAGAAAAAATTTGCTAGGGAAGGTGCTGCAAGCCTGTAGTCCCAGCTACGTGGGAGGCTGAGGTGGGAGGATCACCTGAGCCCAGGAAGTTGAGGTTGTAGTGAGCTGTGCTCGTACCCCCGCACTCCAGCCTGGGTGACAGAGCAGACCCTGCCTCAAAAAAGATGGAGAGAGAGAGAGAATAGTAGCTTTTGGTTCCTAGAAAGGATTGCCCAAAATAAAACCTTGTGTTTAGAGGAAAGAATATAAGGAATAAAACTAATTCTTTGGTCTTTTTTTCCCTCCTTTTCTCTTTAGGTTCCTTTTGAGGATGGCCACACAGACAACCACTTACCTCTTTTAGAAAATAATACACATTAACACCTCCCGGGTGAAGGAGAAAAACTTTTTGCCTGAGACATAAAACCTTTTTTAAATAATAAAATATTGTGCAATATATTCAAAGAAAAGGAAACACAAATAAGCAGAAAACATACTTATTTTAAAAAAGAAAAAAAAGGAAAAAAAAACCCAAACTGAAATTCTATATATGTTGTGTCTGTTACAAATGTCCTAGAAGAAATCATGCAGCTAAACAGTGAAGAAGCCCAACTGGAGTATTGCTTTGAAGATGACGCCTTCTTATATTTTCACAGCAAATGGGTGGTATCAAAATCAGACATTGCTTCTTGGTGATAAAAAGCCTGAAGGAAATAAGTGAAACTACATCTATGGAAAAAAAAAAAAAAAACAAAACAAAACATTGAGAAGTGCAAATGTTTGCATCTTTTGTTTTTAAAAGATATGATGTCAGAATAAAATGTGGAAAACATATGGAAAACCAGTCTAGACTTTAAAGAATTGTGATCAGGTCACATTTTTAATAATAAAAAAAAAAGAAAAACAGGGACTAGTTCCTATGTTATAGCCATATTAATGTTAAGCCATATTAACAAGACCAATTATCCAATAATTTGGTCTTAAAAAGTAACTTCTTTGAACTCTGATTATTGACTTATCTAACTGTTGAAGATAGAGTCTTAGAAGACTAAATTCTCACAGGGGCAGGTATGCAGGTGTTATGTAGCAAAGGTATCATTCACAAATAGTATATAGAATCTTATACAGGGGAAAGAAAGCACTTTCTTAAAAAAAGATGCCAAGTTTTTAATCTAATTATATTATTGGTATATTTTGGAGGACATAGGGTGAGTTATAAAAAAATCCACTACTGATGGTGGAAATTATCAGTTTGTAAAACGTTAAGAGAAAAATAGGATATTTTATGTATGTGGTGAGTGGAGAACAGGGTAACTTTAAATGACAGTGTAAGGCAAATTTTAAGCACCACAAGATATATCAGATCTGAGAGGTGGCATGTTAAACATGGTCCATTAAACTGTAAAACTGGATTATGAAGTATTTGCATTCAGGGTGTCCTGAATATGATTGATTCTGTATTAGATTGTGTTCTAACTTTCTTACGATTTAAGGATTAGTTCTAAATCTTCAGATTATAAAAGATTAAAAATAGTGAGAGGGAGCTATCACACAGGTACTATTAAAAGCTGTATTTGGAATATGTGTGCCAATATCAGTTTTCCTTTTGTAATACTGAATGACAGTAGAAGAATTATCAACCAATCTCCAAAGTTTTAATCATTTAAGGAAATGGGGAAAGAAAATTCCAGGCAAATAACAAGACTGAAAGATTAGATTTAAAATAGTGGTTTTAGAAAGTAGGATATCACAAGTAACAGTTTTTCAAATGAATTTTTTTCAAGATAAATGTATAAAAACAACTAAAATGGAGAGAAGGAGAAATAGTGATGGGTCTATTTTGCAGTAAAGTTTGTGCAGAATGATATTTTGCAGAAAATAACAGAAGCATCATTAATATATGTATATATCATTAAGAGTCATGAAGTTAACTGATGAAAATAAGTGATACACTTTGAAAGATTTTTGCATCCAGAAAATTCTAAGTAGTGAATGAGCCTTCTCTAGGTTTTGATTTATTTTTCTGAAGATTATTTCCAACAAAGTTTGGCTGTAAACTAACAGAACATCTGTCAACAGGAATCTTCATAGGAAAGAATTAGAATTTAGACTGATCGCTGCTCCTTCAAGTATGCTTGTAAGAAAATTCAATAGTTTCAGGGCTTTTTCTAAATGGGAGGGAAAACAATATTGATTTAGGATTATTTTCTTTAGGATTAGATCATTTTAAGTATTAAAAAGGATTTTAAAAATTATTTTGATATATATGATTTTTGTTTTCATATTTTCCAAATACCATATTAAAATTTTAATTTATCTCCTATGAAAGGAATTTCTTTAAAGCAAAATTCTGCTTTGCCATTGATTTCCATAGGTTAAAGGCTTCCATCTGAAACTCCTCAAATAGAGTCAGATTTTTGGCAGTGGAAGTATTAAAATTCCAACCAGCCCTTTGGATGATGAAGTTTACCTGCATATTAGGATTTGTTAGGAGTTTTCGGCCTCACCAAGTGTTTCTTTTCTATTGCAGAGAGCACTTTACTCACCTACCTATTATGCAACTTTCCCTATGCCTGGAGGTGCCTCCAGAAAGGATACCCTACTTTATTACCCAATTCCCCTTTTTGTTTTAGTATTCATGGCGTCTATATGTTTATATTCCAGACTACATATTTAAAAGTCTGAGACCTCAAATTATATGAAATGGATTTTTTAATACTATGTTTGCATACATTGACCTATAAAGAAGATTAAATATTTAGGTGAATAATTCCCTGCTGCAGTATTTGTACACTTCAGACTACCTCCTAGGAAAAGCTTAACTTAGTTTTACAAAATTCCTTTTTTTTTTTTAAGAGATGGGGTTTTGCACTGCTGCCCAGGCTGAAGTGCAGTGGCACGATCATAACTCACTGCATCCCCAAACTCCTGGGTTCAAGCAGTCCTCCTCCCTCAATCTGCTGAGTAGGTAGGACTACAGCCATGCACCAACAACCTGGCTAATTCTTTTTCATTTATATAGATAATGTTTTGCTGTGTTGCTCAGGCTGGACTCCAACTCCCGGACCAAGTAATCTTCCCACCTTAGTCTCCTGCATTGCTGGGATTATAGGCATGAGCCACTGCACCTGGCACCCAAGTTACTTCTAGTTCTCAAGTTAGATGATTAATATCACACTTCTCTCACACGTTTTATGATAGCATTGAATTTTTATAATTAATTTACTAATCAAGATTTACAGTCTTTAATACAATCTTAATTTTGGAATTTGTAAAGGAATGACTAAGATCTAATTTTTTTTTTTTTTTTTGAAACTGAGTCTCGCTCTGGTCTAGGCTGGAGTGCAGTGGTGCAATCTCAGCTCACTGCAACCTCCGCCTCCTGGGTTCAAGTAATTCTCCTGCCTCAGCCTCTCAGCACTTGTAGCCGGGACTACAGGTGCATACCACCAAGCCCAGCTAATTTTTTTTGTATTTTTAGTAGAGACAGGGATTCACTGTGTTAGCCAGGATGGTCTCGATCTCCTGACCTCATAATCTGCCCGCCTTGGCCTCCCAAAGTGCTGGGATTACAGGCATGAGCCACTGCACCCGGACAGATCTAATTTTTTAATAGTGTAAGAGAGAGACACTGTGCATTCCATCTATGTCCTGAGTAATTCAAGTACCAAAAAGTAATTTAATACGAAACTCCTTGAAAATTCAGAGCTTACACTTGAATTCAAGATGCCTATTTTTGGTTGTTTAAAAGTTACTTAAACCTGAGCCTTAGGACCTTTAAAATCTCAGCATGCCTCTTAACCTAGTACTTTTCCTGTTTTGAGCTCTAGCAAACCTTCAGCAAGCCAAGGTGGTAGGTAGCCCTTTTTCAACACTATCAAATAGAGAGGTCACCAGTTGTTTACTACCTTATGGTAAAATGCCCGGATCAAGATCCATGTATCTGCCCATATTGTGATGATGCAATCAAAGCATAGTTTTTTTCTACTTTCTGAAATACTTCTTTGATAAAATCACTTTACATTTAAGAGTAGAAAACAGACTGCCTTGGATTTTTTTTTTCAGCTATTGAAAATACTGAAATTTTTTTTCAACTTTTTTTTGTGTGTGTCTTGAGAGAAAAGAGAACATGAAATATTTAGTGTTGCAAGCACAAACGTTTGGACTCAATAAATGACAAACTATGAAGCATTTTTTTTGTCTTTTTAATACTAGGAGAAAATTAATGTACCCCCAAATAAGCCTCAGTTCCCATATTTAAACTTTTTTTCTCATAGAAAAGCTACAGGAATTTTAAAATATCACGTTTACATTTGCTTTTCTTCCAGATGGAGCTAAATTTCTATATGATCAGGGTTTATTTTATATTTCTCATATTAAAGATGAAAAAGTGAAAATCGAGTAGTTGACTCGAATTTACGTGTATAAATATGTGAACAGTTGAATAAAAACAAGATTACAAGCAGTGAAACATTTAAGTAGTTTTGGGAACTCCAAATAATATTTTGTGTTTCACAAAAGGAGTTAGGTTAACTTTTCCAAATATAATTCGTTTTACACTATTTTAATAAGGAAAAACTATTAAGGATGAGAAGGCATGAGATAAAGTATACATTAGTGAAAGCTATATACTAAAGCAGACCTTCAACAATAGCTCATAACTAATAAATGCTTTGTATTTTGTTTTCAAACAGTTATGTAAATCAATTTGGTGACTTCTTATACTGTACTGACATTTACTTTCTTTAAGGTAGTTTTCTGGAATTGACTCAAATTGCCATATCACATCTACTATTCCTTTTGCAGTTCCAGGTTGGAATCAGTATTTCGAATAAAGTAGGGACACATCTAAAATATTTGTGTATCAGAAAAGGTGTTTCTGGCTATTTAAACTCAAGTTAGGCATCCTTTGCCACAGTAGTATCTCCACTTTGCGGGGCACTACTGTCTCTCAAACCAGTTCCATTTGAAAACCAGCAATTAGTAGTCTTAGTTAACTAAAAAAAATGTTTTAGGTGATCTAGGCAGTGGGCATTTTTCCACACCTTTATGTGGGATTATGAGAATTGTTACTTCTTACTATAGGCGATTGCTTATGTTCCCAGACATTATTAGAACAGCAGTTCTAGAAGAGTAGCCATGTGGAAATTTACAAGTGATTTTTGTAAGCTTTGAAAATTATTGATGTTTTTGGAAACTAGACCGATCTACTTGAATTGTTTATGTTTATTGTAATATAACATGCTATTTGGGCATTATTAGACCAGTCTCTACCTTGAGATGCTAAGTTAATTAAATGAGGTGTTAAATGGAAGTAATGATGTTAGTTGAAAATTGCAAGAAGTGTTTCTGTGAATTGTGTGTCCATTTGTCTCAACCTTTTCTAGTAGTAGTTGCCTCAGGCAGTGACTCTTCAACTCTGTAATACTTGATACTGTATCAGGTATCTTGTGGGTAGAGAATATAGGGATTGCCAGAATTTCTTTTGAAACATAAGTACCTTTTCTTTGTACATTTCATCCTCTTTTTCCCCCACATAGAAGGTTCTTTCCCATTGCTTTGTTTATATTAGGCATTCAAGTAATTGCGAATTGGTCTTGATGTGAAATAGTTATATGCTAGAGATTGCCCTTCATACAGAGGTGTACCTGCTTTTACTGCCTAATCATCACAAAAGAACTTTGTGTCATTTATCTGATGCCACAAATAGAAGAATACTCATGTCAAAATAACCCTATTAATGGTGTTAGAAAAAGTGAAGCATTATGTACCTATAGGTTAATTTATATTCATCTGATAGTTATTCCTGTGATGCGATTTGTGGAAAGAGTTCTTTGGAAGTTATTTCCTTTTTCTGGGAGTTAGGGGGTGGGGTACAGGGGGTGTAAAGGAGGGAGAAGTGCTGCGGTAGTCAGCAGTTAAAGACAACACTAGAAGAGGGGAAGAATTTTAATTCAAATTTTTATTTAATCAAAAGTCAAAATGTGAATACTTGATTAGTGGAGTTATTGAATTGGTGAAACATACAATCAAAAGTGAATTCTTAGAACTATTATTATGTCTTAATCCAGTCCCACTGAGCTATATCTTGATTTCGTATTTTTACCATATCTATAGCTTGTATCTTAATTGATATAACGCAAAAGTACCATATAGACATCTCAAACTAAAGATCACCAGGTGCTTAGTGTCAGAGCTGGGTTGTCTGCTATGGAAAGTCTTTCCCAGAATTTCGATGAGATTGGGGAAGATACTGCCCAGAAGAGTTCCTCCCAAATGCCCTTTATATAGAGCTCAGGAGAATCTGGAATAATACTGGGCTAGATACTGCCTGAAGGCCTTGTACACTTAAACTACCTCAATGTGCCTTTCTGAATATTACTCAATTATTCCAGGAAGTGAGCATAAATATCACTGCCATTCTTTGTTAACATTTTATGCCTATGTCATTTTCAGCTAGTTATGTGGTGACTAATTTTAGTAGTTTAGGCCCCAAATAGTGTATTTGAGTAATATTCCATGTTTTTAACATGAAGAAATGCTGCAATCCAACGTACTCATCTCTCAAATATGAGGAAAGTTGGCGTAACAGTTACATTATTACTATAGGAATTGGAGAATATATATAGTTTTCACTAGTTTGCATTATACACAAAATATTTTTAAGAAAACAAAACCTATTTCCTAAACTTAAGAGTCCCTTAATGAAGTCTATTCACTTTTCTGCTGTATGTTGTACAGTTAACATTGTGCAATTGGAATGATCACGATACTAGTAAATCCTCTAGTGATCGCATAAGTGCAATCTTCCCCACTTTATACCAGAAGCTACAGTTTAAAAGTCCATTTGAAGTTTTGTTTTGCTCAGTGGCAAAGATCAAATGGGACCATCCCTCTCCCTGTTAACCACTCTAATTGAGTCCTGAGTGGGAAAAGGTTAAATATAAAGGGTTTGGCAACTTTTAGAAGGAGACTTTTGAAAGAAGGTTACCAAGAAATTGAGGATTAAAAAGATTTAGAAGTAATAGCTGTCAAATTCAAATTTGAGAATATCCATTTTGACTTAAAAGCATAATACATGAGTCCCCAATGCAAATATGCTTAATCCCTCACTTTATACATACTTATTTACACTTCTTTTTCCTTTTAAAGAAGTGAATATAGTTAAGAAAAATGTTAAATGTAAACCTACTTTTCTGATTCCCCCACCTACCAAGACTCCAAGGTATAACATGGAAAGAGACATTTTCAGTGGGGAATTACTTCTGTTACTTCACTTTTGAGGATATTGAGATCATTCTCCTTCTACTCATCTTGATTTAAAATTTTTCTTTTGGGTACCCAGAATGGTTCCAAGGTTAGTACTGCTTGAATTCTTTTCAACTTCTGCCATGCATCTTTCCATATTTACTGAGTTTAAATGAATCCTCTCAGGGAGAAAAGAAAAGCTAAATATAGAAAAGTGGGAGTACTTTCACGTTTAATACGCAAGGGCATAAAATAGAATGTTAGGAAACAATTTGAATTTTTTTCCCTAAAATGTAGGTGACTATGGGCTAGTTTACAACTTTCCTTCTCTCACTGAAATAAAAATATATAGTTAAGGAATAGGGATGAATACATAAAAGGTGACACTGACAGTTTGGGCATATTCCTTGTTACTTTCTAATCTTGAGAATCACAGTTTGCTGTTTTAGAGGTATCTGAGAGGTTCCAGATAAAAAGTTATGGTGAAATGTTCTTAAACTTTGAGCGTGCTGGATGCCCTAAAGTAGGAGAGGAATTTATAACAGAAGCTTACAATGAAGAACCAGACATTCCGAGCCATCTGAGATCTTGCAATGAGAAGACGCCAGACGATTAGGAAGAGGGCAGTATTAAAGAGGTAGTGGATATTTCGGAGCCTAGGGAAGAGACAGACATAACCAAAGTTAAAACTACCAGATACCCAACCACATTATCTGAAGATAAATGTGTGTTTTCTTGGATATGACTGGCAAGTATTAATGTAGTGCTCACAGAGTAGTTGGCATAACTTGGCCTTTTGGTTTTTGCATCTTTCATTTCCGCAGCATTCTTGCTGAATAGTCAGATTTCTACCATATTTCCCTAACTCATTTCTCTTATACCTCTCTCCATTTGAAACTATTTACAAGCATGACTAGCCTAATCTTGTAAATATACTTTGATCATGTTACTGCATCATAAATCTTCACTGGTTCTTGTTCAT